TTATCGAAAAGTCGCTCGACGTTTTGACTCATTAACAAATTTATGATTTGTTGACAGGTATTTTAGACCATAGACAGTAAATAACCCCAATTAGAAAGCATCAGATCTATTGGTTCGTGAATAATAATCTAATAATCATTTGCATCTTAAATAAATTTTAATTCTTTTTTTAATTCCGCAATGAAAAAAGATTCATATTTTACTGATCAGTAACTCTGTTTCCATATAACCATTTTTTGAAGGTATTACATCAATAGTTTGGATCTGAAAGTATTCAACATCAGTCTATCACAATCAGCCAAACAATCGACCCCATTATCTTGTAGTTCATGCAGTCCTTTCATGAAGTATAACAAATAATTTAGGAAAAGCTGCTATCATCTCACTTGTTTCTATTTTTCAAAAACTTACTGTCGAATTTATGATGGGGTTGTAGAGAACATCAAAATAATCAATAGCATATAATATAATGATCGTCATACACACGATCATCAAAAAATGACAATATTTGCAGGGAATACGACCTGTTTCATTGGATATTATTTCATTCTCGTTAAATTTATAGAGATTATTAATTTCAGATATTCAGAATTGATAAGAAATTGAACTACGAGTTGTATTAAGAGTTGAAATGTTAAACATTGTTATATGCATAATTCACTTCTGTTACAAAGACATTGTAAGCCAACGATTACTTTTGAATACATAAGATAATGCTTTATTCTCCAGTCTTCTATATCCTTTGTAGATATTGATACTCTAGTACTATTCTGTTTATTGATTACATTAAATGTGCTTATATACATCTGTGTTTCGTGTCCAGTGTAAGTCACGCAACCACAGTGCTAATCATGTTTTGATCCCTGAGTTCTTCATTATTGTTTTCAATGAACAATTAATTTTTTAAATTCCTAAATATCCTTATAATTATTTATTTATTAGGTTGTATCTGGTTGAGGAGTATCCTACGAACCGCTAAGATGAATTGATTGTATCCCACAAAAATTGTCACTTTCTGAGTTTAGATTTTCATTAAGAAAAAAACTGGACGGAAACACTTATCATGATAGAACATGCTTTTTTTAATCTAAAAAGGCAGTGGACGACAGACTAAAATAAAAAAACCTGGCTAGTTGTCACGTCAACTCTCTTGACTACTCTGGAGTGTTAGATGAAAACATATAGTTAAACTACTCAACTTAACCAAAGCAAAGAAGTCTGATTTCTATTTCTACTGACTTGGTAACATATAGGAGATTTAGTCATTTTTTGCAGCCATTAATTCGTTATCTGCCATAATACCAAAGGTTGAGCAAACTTGTATGTGGATAGTAATTTTTACTTTAGAAAATAACGGGTTGACCGATTAGTGAGTCTCCTTTTTCGGATAACTTACCAACTGTTAAGTAAAATATCGATCGACTGATCTGACCCAGCAACTTTATTCAATCAAATCAATGCTTTTGAATAAAACGAAAACAAAAATTGGGGTAGAATAATATGAATTAATTATATTTCGTTGTTTTTGTTCTCTGAGCTACAAATCTCCTCCACCATCTCATATTTCGTTGTTTCTCATCATCTACTTATAACCATTAGTGTGCAACATTGAGTTATGGTATAGTGTGAAGCAATAGGGATTGATGACGGGAAGAACTTGATAATTTTGTTATTCTAATTCCTTTTACTATCAATGTTTATTGTTCAACATTATATCATATCTCAATGTTGCACTTCAATACACATCAGTGGTTGTAAGTAGCTGATGAAAAAACAACGAAATATAACTAATTCATATTATTCTGTCTCAGCTGTCGTTCCGTACTTTACTCAAATGTGGAAAATTTTGATGGTGCTGTGGTCGTTGAGGTGGATGAATTAATTGAAAAGTACCGTTTGTAGTTTTGGACAATAACATTAGAGCTTACTCCATGCCGAAAAGAACACTATATCATTAAGAAAATTCACCCCAGTTGTAATTCTTCTTTATCATTGGAGAATGGAAAAGTGTATACACACTTCCCAAAAATACATTATTATTAGAGACTAATTAGGGATGGAAGATCGAGCAAGATCATTTCCAAGAGCCTATTTCATTAATTTCTAAAGTTGATAACAAATGTGATAGCATTACATAGCAACAAACTTTTTGTGTTCAAACTATTCAATAGTTTACACCCTAGAATGACTTTAATTTAACAGCAACTGCGAATCATGGTGCACTGGCTTCGTCTTAGTCTGACTCCTCAACTTTGCTTCACTAACAGCAAGCTATAAATAAACTTCAGCACTTCCTGGTTTCTTTATGAGAGTGTATTGTACTAGGAACTCTATTAGATCAACAATGGATATTTTAGTTGTCATAAGGATGATCGTATTTTTCTCAAAAGAATGGAGTTATCAACAGTTAAGATCATTTTTCTTAGCATAACTTATAATATTACTATATAAAGAAATCATTTTCCATTAGTGATTACGACGCGTTATTAATTAATAAGGCTTGAACAAACTCTTCAACTAATGTCTTCATGATTAATTAACATTTAAAATGCATTGATACGAATCTTGTACGAAATTATCCTTCGAACCCAAGACACATCAACAGCTCAGATATTTTTACTATATCAGTAAATTATTTGATGGTTACTAATGCTAAATTCCAAAGTTAAGACAATTTACCAAACCTAAATAACTGGTGAGATTGGTCGTCACTAAACACATTTGATCAATTTCTTGTTTGTGAGTTTAAATCGCAGCTTAGTCTTACATCATTTTAAATGTGAGGATAAATCAAGTTTGATTAAACTATGAACACTTATCATATCACACTTGATTTGCATACTAGATCAAGCAGTAGGAGTGCAAATAATAAGATTAAAACACGAATTTCAGCGAAGGGATCTCTTTTCAACGAATTTTATTATCAAGCTGTACAATCGTTCTAATCATCTTATTATATTCACTAAATCTATTGTTATTACTTGTATTATGTGATCTAGTATTATAACCTTTTTATTAACTGTGTTCATATTTCCTCACGGAATTAGTACTTTTACAAAAACAAGATTTTCATATATATACGATTGTACAGCTTGATAATAAATTCGTTGAAAAGAGATCCCGTCGCTGAAATTCGTGTTTTAATTTCAATGTTTAAATGGGAACTATCTGTCAATAATAAGATTATCAGAATGAGTTTTGTGGAGATTTTAGGAAATTTCACAGGTTGAAATCATCAGCCAATTGAAGCTAGACCACCATGGAAAACCTGGAAACACTGGACGGCCGTTTCGTCCTAGTATGGGACTGGTTGGAAAAAGCGGAGAGGTGGTCAGTGCATGACATAGTGTCATGGTATAAGTGAAAGCTACACAGGACTGGCTTCTGTTGGTCCTTCTCGACACCCTGGCTGGGGTCCAATGGGTGATGCAACACAGTGGCTAGAGACGTTATCAAATATGGCTCAGAAAAGCCAGTGGTGATTCTGCTGTAACCCTCTTTTACTTTCTTCATAAAAAATGACCGTAACTTCTTTAACTGAAGGAATTCTTCCTGTTTCCCCATTATTATTATTTCACTACCATACACTAATCTGTGGTCTTAATTGTTCTCTCTTTTCCTTTCTTATACACACCTTACATTCTTTATCTCTTCCCATTCTCACTGTTTTGTGTGGCGCATATATATCTGGTGCCCCCTTGTACCAATATGTGTTCAAATAAATAAATAACAGTGCGAATAATTGATTAAAATCGGAACAGACTCAACTTAAAATGTATTTTCTGTAAACTACATAAATTAAATATTATATATATATATATATATATATATATATATATATATATATATATATATATATATAGTAGTACACATCCATAACCATGTAAGCGGCCGGTACTTCAAATCACCCTTCAGAGTGATGATGAAAACTTATCACAATAAGAATCAGAGCAAAATTTGTACTAAATTGTCTTAAAAAGAATGAAGACTGTTATGTTAATCAAGTTTGCCTGCACCTCATGCCAGTCACTGCGTTAGAAGACTATAGATATTGACAGTATTTAAGTTATTGTTCATTCTGTGGAAGAGCGAAACGAACTAATCACGTTCCAACTAGAAATATTTTTTCGATCGACAACCAAAGCAATAGAGATGAGACTGCAAGAAACCTCTAAGACTTCGCATAATGAAGTCATAGTAAGTGGCGCACTAAACTTTCGACGAATCTATATACTGTTGAAAATTAGATGTCTCATTCTATGAAAATAGTCAAACACTCTGAGACAGTATATTTTGGTTGATCGCCAAAGATATTTAGTACTTATCAATTGTCTATATTATTCAACTAAACGAACCCAATAACTTTGTAAACCAGCGTGAAACTAAAAAAGACAGAGGTTCAAGCCTAGTTCATTTACATCTTACCAATTGAAACTGAGGACATTGTGTTTTGGAATTTAATCTTACTACTCACATCTGTTGTGATAAATCGATTGATGCCAACATACAATGAAGTTAGGAAATCAAAACGGTAAGCTGGAATTCAAATTATCGATAAGGCAGATGTTGGAATTAGAGACCAACTGTATTTTCTTAATTTTACCACTGATGGTATCATATACAGCAACTGAGCCGTAATAAATTTAGTCTTTAATCTCTATACGCATTTAACTGTACAGGTGGCTTTCTCTATGTTTCTTATTCGCTCTCCGCCCCCCAGTCGTAATAATAATTGTAAGCAGATGATGGATAAGCGCACGTGTGCTAAACTCCCCCCTGTCCACTTAATCAATAAGGCAGTAATAGCAGTGGCAGCTGCATATCCATGACAAACACACATCTGTTAATAAACTATGTAGCTCAAATTTTAATAATAGCCTGACAATGTAGTGATGTGATAACGGTGGGTAGGTGTTGCAGAAGCAGCTGCTCACACATTTATCCTGGACAAAAAACACCACTGAAAAGTGCCTAACCAAGCATATACAAAAATATAGACGTTGAAGTAAACATAAATACACTATTCAAAAATAAGAAACACATGACTCATTTTAATGCTTCGATAAAGTGATAGTAATGTGTTAACCATACAGAGAACACAGGTGATCTGATATTCGAGCAGGGAAAGTATAATTTATTGGTTGGAATAAATATTCTGTACAATCATAAAATATTTGAGAAAAAGATAAATGGTTAAGCTATGCGAGAGTGGATACTTATAAATAAATGTAAATGTATATACACTAATGTATAGAGAAAATCAAATCATAACAATTGATGTCAATAATGCTCATTGGTAGTAGCTAATGTTTGTCTGTACATATCACTGCTTTTTCTCTTCAAAGAAAAATGACGCTATTTCGCCACGTTCCTTTATTTTCTTTGTAAACATATGTACTTTTAAAGATGCACAAGTGATTGACTGAAAAAACAAAATAAGCAGTAAAATCAGAGAAAAACAAGTGGTAGACAGAGTTGAAAATACTTAGGTTAATCATAAACAGTGTGTCATAGATATGATAATACTTTGAGATGGATATCTTAACGTCGACCAATAACGAGTAAAAAAATACACAAATAATAATGATAGAGAATGGAATAGCGCGTATGAGAAACGATACAAAGTCAGTTGATTATAGTTGAGTTGATGGCTGTTAACACTTAATGTAAACTAAGCCTTCAGCAAGCTACGAGCCTGACGCATAGAGCACTATATGCTATGTTTGTGTTCCACTTCACACCGTCAGAATGAGGGGGACTTTTTTAACCAAACCGTCTAAAGTTTAAACCTGAAATACTTCGATTTGAGCAACGCTTACGTAAAATGCTTCAAGGCGAGTACATGAATGTACAATCGGTAAATGAGTTGAGCTCAAATCACGGGAATGATTACGTCTAGCTTTAGACTTTATGGTCAAGATCGTCATATGTGGAATGGTGTAAACAAGTCATGTTGTACTTCATTGGAAAAGTTGATACATCTGTATCGGATATAGCTCAGTATAAAATAGTATATAAGGGAAATGTACCTAAGACTACTAGTTAGCGAAAAACGTTCGGAACTACCCCTAATATATGACTTACGTTTGTCATGTCAATCCTACTATATATAAGAATGAAACTACAAGATATGGACGACGAGTGTAAAATTTAGTAACACCTTGGTACATAAGTGAATACATGAATCTACAAGGTCATTCCCGAAGGAATTTAACTAGATAAATGAGTTAATTATTTTTGAAGATAAATGGTAATTATTTTATGCCTAGAAAAAATCCATGTTAAAATTTATCAGGACAAAATGGGAAAACGCTTTATAAAGCGAAAATTAAGGGATGCCAACAAGCATTCAGCTTGTTAGTCAATGAGTCACACCCAGTCGACATGGAATCTAAGATAAGTGTGCGTTAGCATATCCAGATATGAGAAACAAACAAAACGACTAGCAAGTCTGAATAATCGTTGCTTATAGGGAAAGACCTAATACTAAGAATATTGGACAGGATAAAGGATATGGAGAACTGTTGGGAAGCGTGTGCTAAATAAATGTAAGGAGTGAATGAATCTGTGCATGACGATTTCCGAAATAATGTCAAGACGGACTGCTTGCAGTCACTGAGTTATCTACCTAGGAAGTCAGAATCTACTAACATGACGAAGTCCAACAGTCAATCACGCAACGTCTTGGCTTAACCTTCTAACAATCCTTTGACCAACTCCAATCAGGATCGCGCATCAAGTAATGGATTTGTTGAGCGTATATAACGTGTCTCAGGTCTCAACAACCGACTGAATTACACCGAACTTCCGTGTCATAACCATCAATCGGTCAAATTTTGCATTGTAAAATCCGCAGGTTATATATCTATGCTAAATTAGACGAAGTGTTGACTACAACCAATCCAATACATCCAACTTCATATGTTGACGAATGTTTAAAATACACACCTCATTATTTCCGATTTATTTGAACACAAATATTGTTACAAAAGGGTACCTTATACATATGCGCCACATAAGTCACTTAATTTGTGTGGGTTGTGATACTGCTTGGATGCCCAAACCGAAGCAGGTGGTTTTTTGATTATTCGTGGCAAATCAGTATGATACAAAGATACATTATTTACAGTCCTGCATTCCTCACTGCATCTAACCTGTCTTTTCCCGCTACACAAGTACTGTGTAGCAATTTGTTTTGTAGTCGTAACACTGGAACTAGTAGCAGTAACAGGATTTTATTAGGTTATTACATAGGTATCCATTTATGCTGCAGTCCGTTTAATTAGATCAGGAATTAATTTGTAAGAGCACTGTCTTGGAACATTTTATCGACATTTTAATGAATCTGGATATGTTCATAACTCAACGTCGGATATAAACACATACCGGTCATTCAAATGAACTAAGTCAACTTCAAACTTTGAGCAGCCTAAACGTCCGAATATCCAGCAACTACAATGCAATTCTAACTTCTTAGTTTCAACGGTGTAGTTAGTGCCTACTGAAAGACTTGGAAGTTACAATGTTACCGGAAACTTGTCTTAGTTATTTCAGTACATTATATTCCCTCGATAAGAATTTTTGACTACGTCGAGCATCCTGTTGCGTAATAAGTCTTCGAGAACATTGATATTTTTGAATAATAAAAAATAGAACTAGACTTACTTTTCCTTAGGACTCGAACATTTAGATACGTTGACGGATGTTAATATATCCTCAGGATATTGAAGGGTTTTTTCCAAGTCTTGTATATAATCAATAACATGTTGCAATAATTCCAGCTGATTAACTTTCTTATTTCGTTCAATAGTTGGCACCATTTTTTTCAGTTTGACCAAACATCTTTTCATTTCAGTTGGTGGTGTATCGAATTTGACGCTATTCGTATGTTTGCGGTGCTTAGGCAAACGAGACACAGGAGAACGACAACTTGTACGTGTCATACTTAAGCTTATCCTAGCAATCCTTCCGAATTTATTGGAAACCTAAAACCAATCAAAATTTGATTTAAAACTCGGTCGATTATTGCTTACTTTCTATTGGCTGTTTAACATAAAAAGTTCATTGGTTTATGGAAAATACACTTATATAAGTCAAATATTCGTTGTCATGGCGACTAGATTAATTACCTTACATGCACTAACCATTTCGTATATTAGTCTAAATATATCGCTACGGCGTATTTCAACCTGCAATAGGATGAGAAGCAGAAAAGTAATTTAAGTCAATTTTTGTAAGTATAGACACAATTTATAATCTGGTTAGAATTAATTTTGAGAACGATAATAACAAGTTACTTATGGCTTAGCCTTTATTTAAAAATGAATGAAGTCACATTTTGTATGGAATTGAATAAAAGTTTCATAAATGAGGTCTTTTTGAACTTTTATTAGTTGATTAAGCAACATAGATATCGATTTGCCAACTATTTCAATATTAGTATATTTATATTTGCTACTATAATAATAGACCTAATCACAAAATTGTAAATATGTCATGATGTGACCACCTAATCTATAAGATCTTATGTGGAAGTCACATCATAGTCCACACTGATTCGTTGTATCGCGACTAAAACAGCAATATGACATCTGACACTTCTAGAGAACACATTTGAGCTGCGGATAGAATAACATATCATAATATGATTAAGGATTAGTTACATAGATGACCACACCTGCAAGGCTGAGTCATGCCGTGCAGATCAAGTTTTCCCGCGTCCACCATTGTTGAACTTTTCTTAGTGTTACGTGTTGAATGTAACTCATATTGGTGATTATATGTTCACCTTCAAAGATCGCGCGTTTAAGAACCCATGCCACAACAAACTCATCAACTGACGATATAGCTTGTCGTATGCAGCAACGTAAACACAACATTTTGTTTCCCGAATTCGTTCTGCAAATAATATGGGATTATTATTAGATCTACTACAGAGTCAGTGTAAGTGACTACCAGATAAGGGTGAGCCGGGTTATGTAGTCACCAAATGTTATAAACCAGACACAACACAACGTGAGTCAAACAGTCACATTATTCCCGTTACTTCTACGATGTTAGTCAATCTAATCTTAATGGTTCATATCGTATATCTCAATATATTTCGACCTAAGAACTACATCAACCAAATTTAAACCTTTAATGTGTGTGATTCGTTTATATACATGCCTGTAATCGATTTGAAATTTATCCATTATTTATGGTTTCAAGTTACAAATAACCAAAATGGTAGACCTGAAAACTAATACTAACTAAGACCACAAAGACATACTAACATAGTTATGGAGAAACGTATGAATTCTCATATCATGTTGATATTCATCATCAATCATCCACATATTACAATATAGCAGCACTAAGCATAGAATCATGAAATATTAAGATCTATACCGGGATATTGACCATCTCTAATCAATACGCTGATTAATTATGCTGATTTGAAGGTTCTTTACAGAATTTACGAAAACTTCCCAAGATTTCTTCGTATTCAACTCATTAAAACTGAAATAACTCGTTCTATTAACGAAATGAAGCATGAGATTTGCGTTCAGAGGAAGTCATAATTACCAATGAAGTCATTGTAGTCCTACTCTATAGTCATTATTGCTATTAATTATTCATTTCACTGTATTCGAATTTGAAAATCTCGCATTTCCCATATCCATATAATTTTAGAAATAGTTGAATCTGACATTAATCATTGGAGAATTATTACTAAATTCACGGTTAAAGCATTGACTTAATAATATTTCTAACAATTGTGAAAACCGCTCAGTAGATTTCTCACTAAAAATGCACTCCAGATATGCAACAAACTCAAAATTTCAACAGGATAGCATAATGCTCAGTGACCGAATTTCATATGTCCAGTGTTAAGCGGTATAACACATGGAAACTGTTGTTATTTCCAAAAATGTGACGATTTATAGTAGTTCAGCACTCACTTTAACTATTATTAATTATTTACAACAATATATATCACTACAGTCACCGCATATCCATAATATATCAATCTCCAATGGAATCCGAGCCGAAAACTCACAGGCATCCTACCAACTACTTCTTCATTCATTTCACTGATGTCTGATTGAATGTGAAACGATTGTCGATCGTCTCAACAAGTGTTCTAGTCATACAAATAGTCAATTCCATGACACTCAACACTAACTAGATTAAATTGGACAAGTCTAACGTCACTTTTCATCCCAATAACTTACTCAGCATAACACAAGGTAAACATGTCACACTACAACACTCCATTTTTTGTCGTTGTTGATGTTGATGATAGTGATGGTGGTGGTAGTGGTGGTGACGGTGGAGGTGATTTCAACCGAAGCGAAAGTGATGTGATCTGACAACATGGTGAATAACTGCATAGACTATGACTGGCATCAGAACAATAAGCCAGTGTCCGAATCTTCAATGAGATGACTCCATATAGAAAATGTGTTCAACTACAATGTAGGTTGGTCTCATTTAAACGGAAGGAACTATGCATAGTCCAAAATGTGAACATCTCTGGAAACACGTGGTGTTCGGACATAGAATGTTACGGATAAACTGCACATATGGAGATGGAGTAAACTAATGCGACATAAGAAATGCTTGTTGAGACCATCGTCCATAATCTATTGGAATTTCTCACTCTTCTATTCCATCTAACAACCTACTACCAAATGAGAGCCTGAAAGTGGATTACATGCACCGGCCAATATTCCACACAATGATCATTCACATTTCCTAATCCATAATAACATAGTTGATTATTACAGATTAGCACAGACAAAACGTGTTTGCCACAGCAACCAGAATTACGAATCCGTCTGTGATGTACACATATCTCTTGTCTATACTACAATCTCTCCAGGTTTTCTTCATGTCGATTGCATACAATGTTATTGTCTGTAAACATCTGCTGTCGTTATGACTAGACTCAGAATCGTTCGTAAACCGATATATATGCTCGTTCACAAAACAACAACAAATTTAACGAAGCCTAGTGAAATTGAAGAGTTGTCAGTGAGATAAAACGAGAGTGCGTTGACTGGACGGACCAATACTCTGTTGTTTTACTCCGATATGATCTTCATCGAGATGGAACAAATGAACAGACGATAAGTTTTGTGCACGAGGAATACAGTAGTGATTGAACCACTGTCTCTTGTCGTGGAGGTAAACAGAGGGAAGTGATAAAACCCAAATCACGTTTACCTTTGATTCAAGTAGAGTGCTAGGACCTTGTCGGTGTTTTCGAGTTAATCTGTCTTTGTGATTATCGACTAGATAACGAATGATGACATTTCTAAGTGTAGTTTGGTTAATTATGATTAATAATCAAATGATCATGACTAGCAAGTTTATTCTTTACATGAAAATCATGGTACTTATTATTCAATAAGTCTAACTGTATGTCGAACTATTTTTTGAGTTAAATGTAACTGTTTTTTTTACGTTTTAAGCATGTTTTGATCATAATTTGAAGGAAGCTACAAAAGATCAGAAAAAATGGAAGTTGAGAGTCACTTGACATTTGTTTGATAGTTGTCATCTTCAGTTTAAAATTAAAGTTTTAATATACTTCTTGATTTCTAATTCTACTACATCTGTTATCATTACCAATCAACGCCACTCTGTTTTGATGATCATATTTACAAAAAAATGGATTCAACTTCTTAGTAATAAGAGATTAATCGAATATCATGGTTTGAATCCATAGCTTAACTTTTAAAGGATAGTGGAAATATTTCTAATACTACACCGAAATATCTAATATTTATATATGGTCACAAATTGAACTTTCGAGTATTCTCTGTAGTATTGGATGATGTTTTTTTATATAGACTCACCACAGAATTCTGTCAATGAACAATTTGATGCCTTCACTCAATATATTTAAACAATTATTTTTTAAATACTAGAAATGATAAATAAATGTTTATATTTATGTGTATGCCATTAAACGAGTGACACCTACGGCGTTTATATTTGTATTCATCATTCAAAGTACATTATATTCAGCCACCATATGTTATCTACTTCAATGCACCTGTAACGCCATATATATATATATATATATATATATATATATATATATATATATATATATATATATATATATATATATATATATATATATATATATATATATATATATATATGTAAACCAGGTGTTTCACATATGTTCACCATGTATTGAGTGTATTCGACTCCGTCTGTTATTTAAAATTCCGCTGCTGCTGTTGTTGTTGATTAGAAATCAAACTAAATTTTTCAACGTAAAACAGCTCATATTATAAATTGACCAAATGGTCTGTTGTTGGGCTTTTGTTTATCTTAAAATAAGAGAGAATTGTTTACCAATTCACCACATCAAGGTTTCACAAAATCGACATCTGTCGGTCATTGATATATATGTGAAAAAGAAGAATTTATTTTGATCCTGTCTAAACGGACTTCTTAGAGTGAACCGTTAGTTGAGATATATATCTTCGTAAAAAGCAAGATGTAATGCATGGTAATAGTCAGGTGGATTATCATTCGGATGAAAACAGATGATATATCCTACTTTTACAATTATAAGTATTCAGAACTTCGAATAACATCTATGTTGTTAGTTGCATTGTATGTAAAGTTCTTAGTAGTTGAACATTGAATTATGTGGAATCGAAGCACTATCAAGGTGTAATTAATACAAACTTATCTAGTCCTTATTAGTGCTTCAAGCCTGTTGGTCAACAAAACAATTCGTTCAACAGCGTACTGTATTCATATATCAATTTATTTTTACGGAATCTGATTAGATCAAGTTGGCCTTATCTAACGTTTGAGTGGCCCATTTTTCAAATGTGCAAATATTGCAGCTAACTTTAGTATTTCCGGATTTTTTCAAATAGATAATTATAAATACTAATTGTTTCCAATAACATGCTATTACTATAAAGGATTTCCCAATTATTGTGACAAGAATGAATAAAAACTTAAGTAAAAACGCTATAGATCTTGAGATATATTCCTCTTTGTCTATCTTCTGGGAAAAGAGAGGTGAATAGATAGGAATTCGTAAGTCTGTAACGTGTTGGATTGAAAGAATCAGTATATCAGTTAAACGAGTAGAAAACTGTCAGATATGAAGGTGAGTGGAAGATATTAACTTTGTGTAACTTATAAAGTATTGCAATTCAAATGTATGTTAAAAAGAATTTTTTTGCAGCATTGCATAACCGGTGCTGAGAATTTTTCACTGTAATAGATTTTACGGCATTGAATGAAGCTGTTCTTCGTCGTCTTATTAACTATTAATGTTATACTTTCAGTTCCTTTTTTCCTAAGAAACTGTCATACGCAAACATAAAACAGTAGGTAAGACCTATGTATTTGACAGAGATAGATGTATGCTATATTGTCATCCGTTATGAAGTCTATATGAAATTTGATTGATCGAAACTCATCAATGTGATTACTCTAGAATATTTTGTGGTCATTATATTACTACTCGTAAGTAGTAACATTTGTACGATATAAATTACCTTCATTCTTCGTTTCTCAATAGCCTATGTGGTGATGAGTATAACGTGTAGTGAATTCTTGAGTTATGGTCCTTTGGTACATAAATTGGTATCACAAATTCCCTGAAATGACTACCTATTCCATTCAACACTACAGTCGTAATGGGGGCGGTATTTATTAAGCCCTTACTGTCATTATTAATACTACTATTATTACTAATTATAAGTAGATCTTAACGAACGAATTCCAATAACAATTGCTTGATTCTATAACACAATCCATCAAAGAAGAATTATCCCTGAATACAGCCATAGGAATTGCAGATTCGAATAACTGGGTTCTCATCAGTTTTCTAGGTATTAGTTTATTGATCTTAAATTCGTCCATACAGTCCGGTTAATATTTACAAAGTACATATATGTATATATGATTACGTAATCTACAGTACCAGTCTCAACGTCAGATTGTCACTCTGGTTATCTGGTTGAATGACCGCCAATATGATTTAGACGATTAATCTTTATATCTTAAAAGCTTTCGTGCTTGTAAAAACAAACTATTAATAAGTACGTGAGCTGAAGCTGTCAGAACTTCATTTTAGTAAATGCGAGGTACATCAGTTCGATATCCTTCAAAATACTTATCATCAACATTAGATTATCTTATTTTTCTTATTGTTGTTAACAACATCTCATGCTTTCCTAGACTTACAGTTATTCAGCTGCCTCGTTGTCGCGCCATTTTACCAAGTCCAATTGTTTTACTAGAGTTGTGTACATAAACATTTTTTTCAAATCCAGTTCTTCAGCAATTATCCGGATAACGAATTGAGGCTAAAAAAGAACAAGAAACCGTAAACGTTCAGTGCTTCAATCTACACAGAAGGTCAATGATGGTATTGAACTTACATTTTTCCTTCCAGTTTTTATGACCTCCACTGAAATACATGATCCACTTGAAAACAGTTGTCTTCTCCATTGTTATTTCCATAGATATGCTCCCATGTTTCATGAATTTCCATAACATTCTTCCAAAGTTTCAGTCATCGTATGAGTAGAAAAACTATGTACGTAAATTGCGCAATATCACAGATTTTGATGTTGAGGATGGTAATTTTGATAGTACAAGAATAATAAATATGTTATATGAGATTTTATAGTGACTTATTCTCAATTAAACATGTGGTCACTGTTAGTTTGAGTTGTTCTTTACTGTGACTAGAATAATTTTTTTCATTTTACTAGATTGTAACAACAACTAAGAAAAAAATAGAAGAAATGAAGAAAATAGTTCAATTTTTAGTTCAGTTTGAACATATGTGGAACACCTGGTGCATAAGCAAACCTTATGTTACAGCTGTATTAAACATATGGTGATATCAGCATACTACTTAAATCATTGAAGGTAATTTGTGTATAATTCGAATAAAGCATAACATTTTATATTTCTTGACTCTCTCTCTCTCTCTCTCTCTCTCTCTCTATATATATATATATATATATATATATATATATATATATATATATATATATATATATATATATATATATATATAAAGTTTTACAGAGATGTTTGTATATTTTAAGCATGATTTACACTATAAGCTGATTTCATCTAGTTATAATCAGCTCACGGTCTGGGACAAATGTGAGCTAGCTCAAATTACCATACTGCATTCACACAGCAAGGAGAAATAAACCAAAAAAGTAGTAAGGGAGTCGAAAAAATTGTGGTAGCAACGATAATGAACAAGAGGAAACATTAGGGAATCTAGTTTGAGAAGACAGAGTAGGAAGGTATTTAAGAAAGAATAATAGAAATCGAGATTTAAACGAAGGCAATAAACGAATGCACTGAGTGCCATGTCACACAACGTCTCAAACCAGTGATCATGGTTGTCTCATCGACTCTAGGTTGATGTCAATTGACCAATTACTGAAAATCAGGATATACTGCTAAACACGGTTCTTTTACGTTATTATAAAACTCATCGGTAATACACACACTGATAAATCCAATAGTGTGAAATTTCCAACTTCATTTAATTTCTAGTTTAAAACGGTTTCCAACCAAACACCATCGATCAGTTATTGTTCCACGTTGTCTTTGGTTAATTCCGTTTGTTACACTTATATTTGATATCCCACGAAAATCTATTGCGAAATTAGTGATTATTTTATAGACAATTACCAATCTGAGGATTCTGGTCTAACGATTGTACGACAAATACAATTTGAGTATCAAAATGCTGTATTGGCCAGAAAAAAAACATTGATAAGGGGAAACAACATTAATAATGAAGTTTAGGAACCTCAAATTATGAGTTTTGGAACAGGACTAACAAGATTTTTCTGTGTATGGGAAACTTTAGGCTTTGATAGTTTACAGATGAACCATTTACACTATATAAATCAGGCCGTTCATCCACATAGGATATAGCCTTTAAGGCTTCCTTAAGACCATTCAACTGAATATGAAAATTACTGGTATGAGTACTTCGATTCGATAAGCACCTGTAGCGTGGTGTCGAGTCGCGATTGACTATGAACACCACTACAAGAATACTACGTGCCAGTTAACCGATAAAATCCCCGTAAGCCAAATATCAGAAGGAAGTTGATGGCTGTAGTCGAGATGTATTTGTTGGCGACCTCGTGGTATCGAAAGGATACCGAGATCGTGCCAAAGGAGTACAAGCGTGGTTGCCGAGCGTAACCGAACTCGTTCAAGGTCACAACCGAAAGATAATGGAGAGTAACGGAGGAGGAATATGGCTGTCTTTAGCACAGTTAAACAAACGAGCACAGTAAAACAATCACTGGTACAATTGGTTATAATAATAATTGCTTCAATTAAATAAATAGCGTTCTCTTGGTAAAAGTAGGTCACTACACACTTTTACGATACTACAGTGTATAAAATATATGTACTTAGAAATGGTATTCTATTAAATGGACAGAAATTACCATATATTACTTAATTTATCAACGTTTTGAATTAGTTATCGTCAAGTACCTGTGTTTCTGAATCGTAGACGGTACATTATACTGACTAGCAGTGACAACCAAAAGGCGTATATATTTGTATCTTAAACACATCAGTTAAGTCAACATAAAACAGTGTATTATTGATCTCACTGAAACATGAAGATATCACCCATAATTTTAAAACTATACAGCGTCATTTAATAGACTATCAAGTTAAAATGATTACATTTTCACCAATGAATAATACTTATCAAAACTTGAATTCATTGTTGTTAACGTAATCGGTACGGAAGTGAGCGAGATCGACTGCCTAGTTCCCTCGGATAGAACATAATCCATTATTAGGATATAGATCTATCCAGATGGTTAATGTAAAATAGGGCATATACCACAGTTCTCACTGTTAACTAACTATGGATTGTTATGATTTAAATTGGGATAAAATGCAGAACCAAGAAATACTTAAGAAACGAGGATTATAAGCTAAAAAGGCTGACAGAGTTATTCCTGAATACATTAGAAACGTTGAAAAAACTACTATTGATCATATCATTAATAAAACCATTCGAAATAGTTGCCATATGTGACCCCACCGACTCTTGTTTTATCTCACTGACAACTCTTCAATTTCACTAGGCTTCGTTAAATTTGTTGTTGTTTTGTGAACGAGCATATATATCGGTTTACGAACGATTCTGAGTCTAGTCATAACGACAGCAGATGTTTACAGACAATAACATTGTATGCAATCGACATGAAGAAAACCTGGAGAGATTGTAGTATAGACAAGAGATATGTGTACATCACAGACGGATTCGTAATTCTGGTTGCTGTGGCAAACACGTTTTGTCTGTGCTAATCTGTAATAATCAACTATGTTATTATGGATTAGGAAATGTGAATGATCATTGTGTGGAATATTGGCCGGTGCATGTAATCCACTTTCAGGCTCTCATTTGGTAGTAGGTTGTTAGATGGAATAGAAGAGTGAGAAATTCCAATAGATTATGGACGATGGTCTCAACAAGCATTTCTTATGTCGCATTAGTTTACTCCATCTCCATATGTGCAGTTTATCCGTAACATTCTATGTCCGAACACCACGTGTTTCCAGAGATGTTCACATTTTGGACTATGCATAGTTCCTTCCGTTTAAATGAGACCAACCTACATTGTAGTTGAACACATTTTCTATATGGAGTCATCTCATTGAAGATTCGGACACTGGCTTATTGTTCTGATGCCAGTCATAGTCTATGCAGTTATTCACCATGTTGTCAGATCACATCACTTTCGCTTCGGTTGAAATCACCTCCACCGTCACCACCACTACCACCACCATCACTATCATCAACATCAACAACGACAAAAAATGGAGTGTTGTAGTGTGACATGTTTACCTTGTGTTATGCTGAGTAAGTTATTGGGATGAAAAGTGACGTTAGACTTGTCCAATTTAATCTAGTTAGTGTTGAGTGTCATGGAATTGACTATTTGTATGACTAGAACACTTGTTGAGACGATCGACAATCGTTTCACATTCAATCAGACATCAGTGAAATGAATGAAGAAGTAGTTGGTAGGATGCCTGTGAGTTTTCGGCTCGGATTCCATTGGAGATTGATATATTATGGATATGCGGTGACTGTAGTGATATATATTGTTGTAAATAATTAATAATAGTTAAAGTGAGTGCTGAACTACTATAAATCGTCACATTTTTGGAAATAACAACAGTTTCCATGTGTTATACCGCTTAACACTGGACATATGAAATTCGGTCACTGAGCATTATGCTATCCTGTTGAAATTTTGAGTTTGTTGCATATCTGGAGTGCATTTTTAGTGAGAAATCTACTGAGCGGTTTTCACAATTGTTAGAAATATTATTAAGTCAATGCTTTAACCGTGAATTTAGTAATAATTCTCCAATGATTAATGTCAGATTCAACTATTTCTAAAATTATATGGATATGGGAAATGCGAGATTTTCAAATTCGAATACAGTGAAATGAATAATTAATAGCAATAATGACTATAGAGTAGGACTACAATGACTTCATTGGTAATTATGACTTCCTCTGAACGCAAATCTCATGCTTCATTTCGTTAATAGAACGAGTTATTTCAGTTTTAATGAGTTGAATACGAAGAAATCTTGGGAAGTTTTCGTAAATTCTGTAAAGAACCTTCAAATCAGCATAATTAATCAGCGTATTGATTAGAGATGGTCAATATCCCGGTATAGATCTTAATATTTCATGATTCTATGCTTAGTGCTGCTATATTGTAATATGTGGATGATTGATGATGAATATCAACATGATATGAGAATTCATACGTTTCTCCATAACTATGTTAGTATGTCTTTGTGGTCTTAGTTAGTATTAGTTTTCAGGTCTACCATTTTGGTTATTTGTAACTTGAAACCATAAATAATGGATAAATTTCAAATCGATTACAGGCATGTATATAAACGAATCACACACATTAAAGGTTTAAATTTGGTTGATGTAGTTCTTAGGTCGAAATATATTGAGATATACGATATGAACCATTAAGATTAGATTGACTAACATCGTAGAAGTAACGGGAATAATGTGACTGTTTGACTCACGTTGTGTTGTGTCTGGTTTATAACATTTGGTGACTACATAACCCGGCTCACCCTTATCTGGTAGTCACTTACACTGACTCTGTAGTAGATCTAATAATAATCCCATATTATTTGCAGAACGAATTCGGGAAACAAAATGTTGTGTTTACGTTGCTGCATACGACAAGCTATATCGTCAGTTGATGAGTTTGTTGTGGCATGGGTTCTTAAACGCGCGATCTTTGAAGGTGAACATATAATCACCAATATGAGTTACATTCAACACGTAACACTAAGAAAAGTTCAACAATGGTGGACGCGGGAAAACTTGATCTGCACGGCATGACTCAGCCTTGCAGGTGTGGTCATCTATGTAACTAATCCTTAATCATATTATGATATGTTATTCTATCCGCAGCTCAAATGTGTTCTCTAGAAGTGTCAGATGTCATATTGCTGTTTTAGTCGCGATACAACGAATCAGTGTGGACTATGATGTGACTTCCACATAAGATCTTATAGATTAGGTGGTCACATCATGACATATTTACAATTTTGTGATTAGGTCTATTATTATAGTAGCAAATATAAATATACTAATATTGAAATAGACCATGAATCTACAATCCCTCATCATGATCAAGCTGTACATGCTTTATTTGGAGACTATCTCTACCGATTCCTAGCCTTTGCAGTTATATAAAGGGTTACAACCGAAAACTCCAGGGATCAGAGAGCTTATAGCAATTAGCATCTTATAAGCCTTTTTGATTTATTCTAGATTTCGAACATATTAATTGTCCTGATCTTTTCAGTCATTCTGTCATTCACACATTGACTCGAGAATTTGTGTCATGGTGGGTTTGCGCTAAGTACTCCTCATATTTCTTTCACGCTCATAAGTATTGAGTCACCTATCATTCATCGAGTTGGCTATTTCTGTCACTTTAGGTCACATGCAATTTCACATCACTTCTCTTTTGTCTGAATAATCGAATACCTATAATGTACGTTCCCCAAGTACTTTCGTGTTCGTATTTTTGAAATCTACGTTATTATTGACGGAATTTCCCCAAATACTACAAGCGAAGTCAGATGTGACATATTTCATCAAGTTGCTACAAAAGTCTATAACAAACATTAAATGCTAATATGCACTCAAGCATGATAGCTTTCTGTGAAACTTCGATTATAAAGATATAATCGATAAAGAACATTCCCTTGATAACTGCCAGCTGTTTCATAGTGACAGATCTGATAATTCAAGTAGTGAAGTCGTGGTTTGCATCCACCTCCCTTCGAGCTCAGGAAATTTCTTCCATCAGGATAAGTCACCTAATGTCTTATGGTGTAGTATGGAGGGGACTTGTTGTTGAATGTTGCAGATCCTTTCTTCCTAAAAAGCAATACTGAACAAATCAGCTTGTCCTAATATGTAACTTAGTGTACTTGCAGAGGTCCAAAGGAAAAGCCCCTAGTTTGTGGGATGGTTAAAGTAAATTTATTCTGTGATTAGTTTTTGTTATTACTCGCATTTTCAGAAAGGAAGCTTTGGGTTGGCTAGTACTATGACAAGCTTTCGTAGGTTATTCTAGCTTCTGGATAAGCCAATTCATTCACACTTCGCGAGCCATATTTTGACCATTTCATTTATTCGCTTGTTAACCCGACTGTTTTGATATGATCGTATGTGTGTTGATTGCCTTCCCTAATCGTTATTTGTCTGTAACTTACTTTTGGTCTGAATGTAAATAATGAGTAACGATGAACCAAATTGAGTTGGCTCACTTGCCTTCTCCGTTAAGCGTCACTTCGTTTCGTTTTGCTTCGCTTCTTTCTCTGAGTTTCCCTGATTGTCCGCTCAGGTCGACGGGTGTATGAAATATATGAATTCGAAATCCATTATTGTATTTGACTTATTCACTTCCGTTATTCCTTAACGCTATTCAAGTCTGTAGTTGTATTCGAAGGTTGAAGTCATGTATACTTCGATAACAGTCATCATACGATCTAACTGGAGTCAGACTATGGGTCTGAACCAGATATCCACTAGCCAATCATTGGAGGTTAAGGATTTCAATTGTTGAAATCACGAGTCAATTGAAGCTAGACCACCATGGAAAACCTGGAAGCACTGGACGGCCGCTTCGTCCCAATATGGTACTCCTCAGCGGTGCGCATCCACGATCCCGCCCTCACGGGGTTCGAACCCAGGACCTATCAGTTTCGCGCGCGAGCACTTAACCATTAGACCACTGAGCCGGCATCCAACTGTGTTGATGTCTAACTTCAACCAATCCAAGAAGTTGCTCTACCGTACACCATTTCTTCAGTGAGTTGATATCTCACAATAGACCTGGTTGAACTTCACTGGTAACGACTTCTCATTAGAACTCCAGGAAATGCCTCTTGAAGTCAGCCAAAGAGTTATTAGTCTTGAACCATTTTGGATGAAGCAATCATCCTGTATCTCCATAAGTGACTTAACGTATGAATCTATCCATTGTTGAAAACTTTCAAAAAACTGGTTGCAGTGATTTCAGGACAGACCTCGAGAAACTATCTTGAGTGAACGAGCTTGACTCTGATGATATGGACGAATGGTCAGACCTTCTTAAGAATATCTTTCAGTTTATTAATCGACATACGCTTATATCCTGGTTCGCGATCCTTTAACAACACACGGTCCTTTTAGTAGGCTGCTAGCTAAGGGACTATAACTCACCTATTTCCACTCCGTTAAATGTCTATCCATTGGCCCAACTACATCTTTTTCTATGTTGACCTAAGCATTGTACAGTTTCAGATTTTTAAAAATCCAAGGAGATTCTGAGGCACTGGGACCCGTAAATCTGCTAAAGTGGACCAACCCAACCCGGATGTTTAAAAAAATGTGCGGATCTATTTTGTTTCCTGCCTACACTGCCTTCAAGTGTTCGTTAGCCAAGGGCATGCTACTCTATGAATAGAAAAAGGGTGTCTTCATACCCATCACAGATGGAGGTATTAATGTGAAAGACTCAAGTTGCTAACCACTTTCCCCCGACTGAACGGAATTATATGTCATTGGAATACTTTTGAGCGAATCCTTCTGTAATCATCGGTTGAACAATTCTTTGGTTTCTCACTTGAAATACGGCTATCCGTCTGGGTGACGATGAAATATAAACCTACTGACTGCCTGAAATAACACGCAGGCTTTCTAAAACTTTCCAAGGCACTCGAATGCGTTGAAGATTTAATCCTCTGTCGAAAGCATAAACTAACAGCCATCAGTGTGTGTCTGTCGAAACGACACGTAGATTGCCTTCACTGTAACTAACTTCTTTTACTCTCTGGTTTTAGTAGGAGCATGATGAGAAGCATAACGTTTTGTTATCAAAAACTTTTTTGATGCCGAGACTCGTATAAAAAAACACAAATGGCCTGCTGATGTTGCCAGGTAAAGTTTGAGGTTTGAACGGTGATTATTGAAACGTTAGTTGCGCGTCTGACAGATATGGCGGTACTTCGTTAGCTTTGTTTCACCTGTAGAGTTTACTTAACGAGTGAGTATAAAGACTAATCCTTTTCATTGTGAATTATTTAAAATTCGTGACTTTTAAGTTACATAACCTCCATCTCTATAATTTGGGTCACTCAGTGAAACACCATTCTTCAGACTTTAAACGAACAGTTCTTGGAAATATGGGCTCCGAGTATGTAGGAAGCACTAAATGGAAAAGTGCGAACGAGTATTTCAATCTTTGATGTTGTTCAAACAAAAAAATCATTTAGATCAATAGAGGTTTTAGGATACTGCCATTTCCCAATGTAAACCTGTAAATACGTATGCTAGTGTTTTCAATATCTTTGTTACGAGCTTATATAAATCGGTTGATTTGGTATGGATCAGTTCCGTTTCCCTTCATTCAGATTAAGAGGCTTACTATGTTGTAACGTCTAGTGTATTGAAAGTATCCACTCTTATTTCAGACCGACTTCCCTACATTGTTAGATGCTTCATTGTTCTTAGACCGTTTCCCCAAAGAATTATTCTGCCTATATTTTAGGGAGACTGAGCATATACATATATTTAAAACAGTTGGAGAAACTATCTATAACTCGATTGTTGGTCTGAACATTGAAGTGTTTTGAAGGATTGTAAACTGAGTTAAGTTAGCGTTTTTTCTGAAGAACTTCGGAAAATTCACATAGATCATTTCTGTCCGTAGGGGATTTTGAAATTTTGCCCTTCATAAAGAGTGGAAAGTATGGCTCCAGTTCGTCTGACCTACTATTTAGCGTATCTAAAGTTTTTTGGTCTGTCCCAATGTTTGTGTCATGATTGGATTTAAGTTTCAGTTTCAATTTGGAAAGGACAGAAGGCTTAATGGTCTGTTAGTCCTGGCGATGGTGGTCTCTCAGTTGGTCCAACTTTCTTTTGAAAGGGTCGACGGATTGGGCCTCAGCCACGTGCTGAGGTAATGAATTCTACTCGTTGATGATTCGATGGGAAAGCCGATAGTCAGCTGACAAGTAATTTGTTCTGGACTTGTGAACTTCTTTGGAATGTCCTCGTAAATTCTCTGTTTTGGAAGACAAGAAAAATGAGGGCATATCAGGTGCAAATTTGGCAATAAGCAATTTGAAAACTGTAATCAAATCGCCTCTAGTTCTACGATATGACAACGGGAATAGGTTTAGCTTGGCCAGTCGAGCATCATACGGAAGCTTCGCTATTCCGGGAATCAGCTTAGTTGCTGTTCTCTGAACCTTTTCCAAAAGCTCACTGTCTTTTTTTAAGCAGGGGCTAACAGCTTGTATGCAGTACTCAAGTTTAGGACGTACGAACACTGTATACAAAGTCAAAAACGTTTTAGCGTCGACATGATTAAAAGCCCAACGTATCGACCATAAGGCTCTAAAACATTTGGTGGCTATTGCACGACAGTGTGCAGTAGTCTTTAAGTCTTGGCTAACGATGACTCCTAAGTCACTATGTGTCTGGACAACAGGTAGCTCAGTGTTATTCATCGTGTATGTATCTGTACCTTGATGACCGATATGCATCACAACACACTTGGAGGTATTTATCGGCAATTTCCGGGTTTGAGACTATTCAGATAATTTCTTCAGATCATTTTGGAGTTCTAAACTATCACCCTTACATCGTATCGTTCTCCATATCTTGACCTCGTCAGCATATAGCAAGACCGATGATGATAGGAAATGAGGAGGGTCATTTACATACAAGAGGAACAGCACTGGCCCCAAAATTGTACCCTGGGGCACTCCACTAAGCACAGTTTCCCAGCAAGATAACTTTGAGTTCACCCGTACTCTTTGTTGGTGCCCAACTGGGAAGTCTTTTATCCACATCAATAGATTGCCTCCAATTCCGATATTTCTTAGCTTGTATAACAGCCGGTTGTGCGGAACTTTGTCAAAAGCTTTTCTGAAATCAATGTAGACTATGTCTATAGGTAACTTTTGGTCCTTAAGAGCGCACCAGCTTTCACGAGCGACTAATAAGTTAGTGAGACAAGAATAACCTATTCTGAAAGCGTGCTGCTCTTCCAAAACGATCTGGTTTTCATCGAGGTACTTCAACAGCTCCTTCCGAATAATCTTTCCTATTTTATTATTTATTTAACACATAGATATTGGTACAAGGAGGCACCAAATACATATGCGCCACACAAATCTCATTTGATATGTGTGAGGGCTGTGATACTGCCCGGGTGCCCAAACCGAAGCAGGTGGTTTTCTTGGGAGGCCACACCCGGAGCCTTCGACCTGAAGGTCTGATCCACAAGGCAGTGGAGCATCGTAAGGAGATGCAGTCCCATGGTACCCGGTGACCAACGATTGGTTCATACACCATTTGTTCTTTCAGGATACTGGAGCCCATGTGCACCATTGGTTTGGAATCAGGGTTTTCAAACTCCCTTAGGTGGATCCTCCGTATACACCAACCCGGTTAAAGCGCCGGACATTCTCTTTTCGTCCTCTCGATTTCGTAAGCAACACCCCCACCACGAGAAGGCAGCGAGTAGGACTTCCCTGGCAGAGGCTGTATACGCGTGGCCATGTGAGAGCATTTCGAGAGGGAGAGAGGACTCTCCACACTCGGCCGTACCAAGGCATTTGGGCTAGCGGGTCGGTGATTCTCAGGTTTATGTTTCGTACCTGTTTTGAAGACGGGACTATGGCGTTCTTCCAGTCTTTTGGTAGACGACCCTGCGTTACGTATAGATTAAAGCATGTACTTAAAGGGTTCGCAATGAAGTTAGATAATTCCTTTAGTAGCCTAGGATGCAATTCATCGGGCCTCGTGGATTTACCTATGTCAAGCTTATTTAGCAGACCAAAGACATCGAGTTCTTTAATGGTCATGCTATCCAGTGTATGTGTGTGGGGATTTGTATGCGCTGACGGGAAGGGTGCTTCTATGGTATATACATTGCTAAAGTAGCTTGAGAACACTTGAGCCTTACCAAAGTCGCCCTCCACTAATGATGCGGCAGTACTGTCTCCCCACAGTGCAGGAATATTTCCTCTTCTTTATATCCTTTGGTTTATATAGGAATACAAGCGTTTAGGACATTCTATGGATTCCTTACCAATTTTTTCTCCGTACAACTTTCTAGACTTACGGAGGGTCGAGACACAAGTATTCCGAGCTTTTCGATAATGAGGTTTTGTCTCATCAGTCCCCAGTAACCTAAATATATCCCAAATTTTTCTTCTCTTACGGAGAAGGATGCGGACCTCCCTACTGAACCATGGTGGATAGTTTCTCGGCCCCCTTGGTATAGTCAAATGGATGTGGGGTGCGGTAACTTTTAAGTATAAATTTCGAAATGCGTCCCAAGCCGTTTCAATTGAGGATTGGGTCTGTTGTCCAATCTACTAACGATCCAGACGTTAGGTCTAGATTGAGCTAACTCATGCTCGTGATTGACAGTTATATGGAAGTCAAAAGTTAAAACTACGTGATCACTTTTACCTAGGAGTGGCATGTAATGGAGGTTCGCAACGTCATCCTCATAGTGAGTCAATATAAGATCTAGTAAGGATGATTCAGAGTCCGGGTCGTACCTAGTTGCTTCTTTCACATGTTGCACTAGGGCACATGTGATAACCTCATCAACTAGTTCCTGCTCGAAAAAATTATGTGGCGATTCAGTTCGCAAATTTTACCAGTCTGCCATAGGTGCATTAAAGTCCCCCTATGATTAGACATCGACCACTTTGTGACCAAGTATTGAGACTGCTTAGCAGGACCTCATTTACCTCACAGCTTGGACTGCGATAGACCAAACCAATCAGCGGCTTTTGTCCCTTGGATTTCAAGTGGCAACTAACTAATTCACACGTTCCACTCTCATGAGATACACTGTCGACAATGGTAAATGTGATAGCATGCCTAATGAATAGAGATACTCCCCCTCCTTTACGCTTTTGTATTCTGTCGGCCCATACTAACGTAAAACCCTCGAAATCAAGTTCCATACTATCTATAGACTGTGTCAGCCAGGTTTCTGTGACTGCGATTATGTCTGGCTTTGTTGAGTCGATCTGTACACTTATTTCCGATCGCTTATTGATTAAGCTTCGAGCATTAGTGTAACAGATCTTAAGCCTATTTAAGTGGCTTCGTGCTTCACACAGAGTGGCTTCGGCATCATTCTCTGTCGAAGCCTTACAGCCCAAAAATGTGCAATTTTTATGTCTTTTTCGTCAGCGTCTAACCTAAGTTGTAGTTCTTTTTCGGCTTCCCCTCTTTTTACACGGTCTGCCAATGGCAAATGCTTACGGATAAAACTCCTGAACTTTTTAATTTATGTCCATTCTGTAAAATTAAGTCGCGTTCATTCGAAGATTTGAATACTATTTTAAGCAGTCTGGATTAATTAGGCTTCAAGTTCGCTTCAAGTTCCAGACCAAGCTTGCCAAAACACTTTTTTTACAGCATTTACCAATGAGATGGCCTCGGTTAGCAAGCTGTTTGTATCCGAACAGCACTGTTGACAAAGCCATACGTAACCGTTTTTACTGAACCGTTTGAAAGCCGCAGGCGTTAAATTCGTGGAAACTTCGTGGTACCAGCCTTTGCACTCATCGCGCTGCATGCCGCTTTCAATGGGATAACGACAGCCCGGATGTTGGTAATTGCTTTTTTTGCACTGTCCAGTCATTAAACAGGGGTCTCTTTTCTTAAAAAAAGAACTAGATGCAATAATACTCAGAGACAAAAATGATCTATGACCAAAAAAAGTGGAAAACTGTAGATTGTTAGAACCAAAAGTACTAACAGATACAATAGAAAACAAAGTACTCAAAAGTACCGACGACAAACTACTTTAGAAACAGAAACGATACTCTAATCGAATACTTTAACTGAAATAAATGCAATTAAAGTGAAAACAGAAGTCTTGGTACGTAATAAACGATCAAAACAGTAGAATTTACTCAGCGAGGAAAAATACCACTGTCCTTTTAAATAGCGCGCGCGATCCAAGTAAGTATTTCAGGGGATACTCAATTGTGTTTGGGATATTTT